TTTTATTTATAGGCTACCTTGGCTTTTTTGAAATATCTGCAGGAGGTAGCGCTGTCATGTTCTTATGTATGTCGGTAATCCCAATTTACTAATGCATTAACTTTTTCTCCCACCCCCAGCATTTAACATTTCTATAGCATTCTAGGTACTGTAAAAAACACAGATAATAAAATCCCTGTGTAGAGAGGCTTGCAATCTACATTGCTAAGCAGCCTATGCTCATCTGTAGAGCTCCTCAAAGAATTATTTACATCCTGATCCTTCTGAAATGCTAATCTGAATCATTATGAGCCAGTGAAAGGAAATGGAAGATAATTTCCTTTCATTACTTTATAGAAATACAGGAGGTCTTTTCTTCTTTCTCTCTCCACACCACCCTCTTTATGAGCCATTGTTTCCCAGATCAAAGACAGCCTGGGAGTTTTGCAGGTGGCCACTTATACCTTTTGAAGTTTTATTCCATCCATTTTTTTAAAAAAAGAAGAAAACACAAAAACCACTTTCAAACTAGCATTCCACTTGCATGAATTTTGCAAGCTGCAGATGGCCATGATTTAGGGGAGATGACCTAGAAAGAATGGCAATGGTGGTGTTGATGCCCCCAAAATAAAAGTTTACAAGCTAATGTGTTAAGGGCATAGACTCCCCCCCCAACCCCATTTGTATACCACCCTATACCCACAGGTCTCAAGGTGGTTACAACATAAATAAGTATAAAATGCTTTTCAATGTAAGAGGGAAGAAAATATGCTGTGATTACTTTGCAATTCCATGCCAGCCTAGATGCTGGTGCTGGGTCTGTTTTACTGCTGCAGCTACTCTGTGGGTGGTTGAATTCAAATTATTATTATTATTATTAATATAATATTTATCAAAAAAAATCTTTTTTCCTTTATAACAAACCAAATAAAATTTCTTCATCACATATATCTTTGCTCAAATTGAGCCTTGACTTCATCCCGTCCCCCTCCCTGACTTCCATATGTAATCACTTTTATCTTAGCATTTCTGAATCACCCTATTTACCTTACCTTATCTTATCTCCATACTTAAAAAACTTACTTCTAATATTTATAAACAGGTATCAAATCATAACCTCACAATTTTTTTTTAAATCAATTCTGCAAATGTTTTCAGATGTTTGCAATGTTCATGTATTGTACAAATTTACTCCACTCCTTTTCAAACAGTTCGTCATGCTGGTTTCAGATTTCCCCCTTCAGTTTCGCCAGCTCGGCATATTCAATCATCTTCGTCTGCCATTCTTCCAATGTTGGAGAGGATGCACCTCCACAGGCACATACATCCACATGTGGTGGGAATGCCCCCAAATCCAATTATTCTGGACAACACTCATAGAGGAAATATGCAAAATAACTAAGCAAATATTAGAAATAACCCCAGATCTGGCCCTATTAAACATCTTCCAAGATAATAATGCCCACTCACATCATAAAGAGCTCACAACCCACCTACTCTCAGCAGCCAGAAACATCATAGCCAGACACTGGAAAGACTTGTCAGGAGTAAGCATGGACCAATGGTGCCAAATAATATGGGAAACAGCTTTATTAGAAAAACTAACCAACAAACTGAAACTGGCACGGGGACAAATAGAAGAAGACGCCTTCACCCTGGTATGGCTCCCCTTTATCACATACATAACCCAACAAGATAACGACAAGAATCCACCTACAGCATACAAATCAATATGGCTAACCTGATGCAAAACATCCACCCACCCCATTCACACATGAAAAAAAAGTTCACCACAGCCAATCACAAACAAACAACCACACCCTAGGCCAACCCCAACCTCTCTCACCACCAAAGGAACACAAGTGAATAGTAAAGAGAACCCGCACAAGCGATGCGGACACAAAACCCCACACATACATTAAGTAGAATAGAAACATTGTCACCCGATCCCACCCCCCCTCACCATGCCCCACTCTACCTCTTTCCCTCTTTTCTTCCTAATGTAACACTAATGTCTCAACAAATGAAACTGATCTGTAGAAAATGTAACTTGAAAAGAGAGACATTGCACAAATTTTGTAAATCAAGAAATCTTTAATAAAAATATGTTTGAAAACAACAACAGAGCATGAAGCTAGAGTAGTGCTTTCCAGACTACAACTCTCATCACCTCCAGTCTGCAAGGCTCATCATCAGGGATGATGGAAGTTGTATTCTAGAAAGATATTAGGGGGGGGGCACCTCGTTGGCTACTCCTGCTTTAGCCCTGACATCATATTGGGCCTCACTGCAAGTTTTTAGTCTACCTGATGTAAAGCAAATTTTAAAAGTCCAAGTTAAAGGCAGGCACGTGCTTTAATTCTGACCTAAATCGATCGACACCTTGATTGACTTTGAATTGAACTGGTTACCTCACATGCTTCATAAATTTAGTTCTGTTCTGCTAGGGACAAGAGCTATTGAGTAGGATCTGCATTTTATCTAGTGTGCTTTCCAGATTTATCTCCAGCTCTGCTAATTGGGGTTTGTTTGTTTCATCTTATCTGCTCTCTACCTGGCAAGGGTCCTAGGAGAGGGCCAGCTGGTGCTGGAGACAAATATGCCCTACAATTTCATCTTCCTCATCCAGGATTTCCTTCCCTTCCCCTCCCCTCTGCCCATTGCCTTATCTCTGGGACTTTTGTAACCTGATACAATTGAAAATAAGCAAACAACTTGTAATCCAATTAACAGTTCCTATTTAATTTTTTTCACAGTTTCTTTTTTGGATCTTAAACACATGGATTTGATTGAGCTTAGTTAATAGCTGCCTGTATATTTAATACACATACTACATGGAGCCCTTTATGTAAAGGGAATGAACATGGCAGGGTATGGCATGTTGAATATATATATATATAGAATCACCCCTCACTTATAAGGTAAAAAATCTTGACAAAGAAATTAGTATGGGAGCACTAGGAACACTGAAGAATTTAATCTTTGCAGATTCTGTTCCAAGTAGATCTGATCCACACCTCCAGGGCTAACATGTGTGTTGGAACTTTTTATTAGTTTATTAGTTGAATTTACAGCTTACCCTTTGTTCCCAAAGTGTAGGCAGGACAGGAGGGCTCTGACATACACTGTCAAGTGTATGTGACATGGAGTGGAAATTAGCAATGGGGAAGAGTTTTGATTCAGTTTGCATTTGAAGGCGAAACTTGCAAAACTCACACTTACCATAAATCCGCTCCCCTTCCCTGGGGTGTGTGTGTTGCAGACTGGCATCTGGGGGTGGAGGGATGCTGAAACATTAATCCTTTGAGATTCACACCAATGCACTGTATGGGGGGGGGGTAACTGCTTTGCAAAAATGGGTATTTTAGGCAAAACACAACAAGAGGAGTATGTTAGGGAAAATGTGCATTAAAATGCCAATGAATTTTCAAGAGGGTGTGTGTATACATACACACACACACACACACACACACACACAAATGGAACCATGGAGAACTGAATTTTAAAACTGGAAAAGGAGACCCTGAGTGAAACAGAAATTGACAGATTCAGTCATCCCTAGCAGAAATAGACTGATGCATCCATTAAAAGGCAGCACTGCTATAGCTTCATTTGCTGTGGTTTGGGCAAAGCAGACCTCCATTTACTTTGGGGCAGGTGGTGGTGGGGAGCAGTTGGAATTAGAAATACAATAATAAAGTGCATAACACTGGAGCTAAATTGGTTCCTTAATTGGCAGGGGTGGGTTGTGGGTAGCAGTCTGAGGTGCGTGTGGAGTGTGGAATCAGGAGCTGTGGGACCCATCAGCTGTCAGAGAACCAAAGAGTTAACACAGACTCACTGGGCCAACCAGCTGGCAGGGTCAAAGGGCGAAGCCAGGAGTCAGGGCTGAAGATCAAGTCAGAGCGGAGAACAGACCAGGAGGCAGGATCAAAAAGGAAGCCAGAAGTCAGGACCCAAGCCTGGAGGCAGAATCAAAGTCAGTGAGAAAAAATAACCAAGGACAAGAAGTTAAAATGAACTCAAGGAAGGCTCAGTTGGAAGAGGAAGTCAAATTATACTCCTTCCTGTCTAGAAGGAGCCAATAATCACCCTGGGTGGGTGGACACAGTACAGGGCTAAAAACAGCCAAGGTGAAGCTGTGGTCTGCCAGATGTTGTTGGACTCCAACTCCCATCATCCCTAATCAGGGTGTTGTTGGCATCTGTCTGTCTTGGAAAACAATAGAGGAGTGTGTCTTTTCGGATGAAGTCAAACTGTTGGAGAGTTACAGTGCCTGCTGTGGCTGTGGAGGCTGATACAGGAAAGACATGTCTTGCTGCAGCTGGGGCAGATGAAGGCATCTGGTTGTGCTCCTGCAGAGGCACCATGACGTTTCTTCTCTGGACTACAGCTTCACAATTACTGGCCTGGTGGTTCATTCACTGAGAAACTGTCACCTGCAGTTTGGGGGTTTACTGCATGAGATAGCTACACACATTTGTGGCAAATGGTTGGCTGGGGATTAGCTGTGATAGGAGCATGATTGGTGTGGGTGCTTGAGAATATTCCCAAGGACATATTTGGGAGACGTTACTGTGGTGAGGAAGTGTGAGTACAGCTTCTATCTCAGTTATTCAGTTTAGTGGCTAATGAGGTCATATATATGGAGTGTTGTTATATTTTTTTCATTTAATTTTTTGGGTAATCTTTCAGATATTTCATTCCCTCCCACTAATTGTGTTGCTTTAAATATGAATTTTGTGCTTGACCTTCATTTGCAATACTCTGTTTCAATATTTTTTCATAGCCTTCTATTTGATGTTTTAAGATAGGCTGTAAACAGCTTTGAGATTTTTTTTAAAAAAATGATTTGAATAAACAATAACTAAATAAATGATGTCACAGCAGCACCAAACAGTAGGACCACCCATAGTCAAAGATGGAAGGGAACTTGCTGAATGAAGTGTAGAATTGTATAGTTGGTATGGACCCTGGGGGTCTTAGTCCAATCTCCTGCAATGCAGTAATCCCACCACAGCCATCCCTGGGTGGGCTTGAACCATCAACCTTCTGGTTAAGAACCAAAGGCATTCACCCATTGTGCCACCAACTTGGGTGTGGTTAATGGAGAAGCAGGCTCAGATAAAAAAAAGCCTGTCGGATCTTTTTCCTATTTAAAACTCTGCCTCGAAGAAGTCTCTGTAATTTGTACATTTCCAGTACTTTAAGCACAGTTTGTTCAATAAAGGCATTGCTAGCTCAATGTTCCTCACTGTAACGATGTCTTCTGAGAATAAGGGAGGAAATTTAATTTAGAGTACTTATTTTTATGGGTGGGTGTATGGAAATGCTTTTTGCAAAACAAAATGAATTGCTTTAGATTTGTTTGCCTCCGGATTTAAATTTAATACTTCAGGAGTTAAATTTCTTCCTAATCAAGAGTTCAAAAGAGCCCAAGGCACTTTGGGTTTCAAGATACCATACCACCCACTTTCACAATAAAATAATAGGGGTGTGCACTGGCCACAAGATTTCATCTGAACCCCAATTAGGTGTTTTGGGAAGCAGAACACTTCAGTCAGAGGTGTCTTGTAGGCTGCCTGATTCAGTTTGGAGGTCCATACAAGTCTGCTTCGTCTCCCCATATTCCTTGTTTTATCTGATTTTAGTGTTGTGCTTTTACACCATTATAACCCACCCTGGGATGCTATGGTGGGCTGGATCAGTCAGCACTTCAGAAGCCTGGGGTCTGGACGTTTGTCCTATGCTATACTGAAGGTCCTGAAAAAACAATAGGAATGGCACCTGTCTGGTTTATAATGGGAAGAAGTTCCAAAGGGTTGGTGCCTCTACACTAAGGATCTTATTCTTACATGATACAGAACAGATCTCCTGATGAGATGGTATCTGCAGAGTGCAACGACTGCCTTGGTATCTAAGGTATGAAAGTATCTTTAGGTATCTTAGGCTGATTCCCCCAGATCTCCCAGCCAACCTCTGCAAATACATAATAAAAGTGCATGCATTCAAACAGTATATAAAATCTACAAACCAGGTAACTGGGGTACCTTTTTGGTTGATGAGAAGATTTTAAATCCATTAATCTAAGCAATTAAAAGTCAAAGCCTAATTACAGGTAACCAAGAGTTGAAAAGTTAATATGTTTTAAAAAAACAACCCTGACCTGTTTCTCCTTTCCAGGCTTCATCTTGCATTTTCATCTTCAGATGGAGAAATTGAGCTTTCCTGATCTATAACCAAATGATATATTAATAATGCGTAAAAAGAAGACAGTGATAAAAAAATAATGGTTCTGAAAGCAAAGCCAGAAGGTCACTACAAATTTCATATTGAGCATCAAGCATAAAGAAACTGTTCAAAGCATTTATTCATCGTGTCTCCTTTTGGGCCAAGAGGTACTTATTAATGAGGACAGTCTGCCACTTGTGAGTTCTCCTTGCTGTCAATAACTGTCAGATAAGATATATTATTGCTCTTATAGGCACTTACCAAGAGACTCCTATGCTTGTAGCTGTTTTGGTCTTGCATGATTATGAGCGAACATGCCAGAAGCCTGTATTTCGAACAATACACTTAATATTAAATGCAATCATTATCTCATCCCAGACTGGTGAAGCATAGGGGAACCTTGAAATTAAGTCATCTCACATTTAGCTAGCTAACTAACTAACTAACTAACTAACTCACAGAGCCATGGGCATACCATGTTTTGTATAGCCACTGGGAAATCCACTTGAAAATCTTGCACCCATCAGTTTAGGCCAGTGGTTGCCACCTGTCAGGGAACTGACATCAGAGCGAGAGGCGAAGGGGAGGCTCCTGGATGATGCTGGAGAAGGACCCAGCAGCAGGGGGAGAGGCGACTCAGTGGAGGGGGAGCATTTAAGCGCAACACCAGGAACAAAAGTGAGCAGATGGGAAAATCGGAGAGAGGGCTCACGGACTCTTCACTGGAACTCAGTGAGGAGGGGACAGGTCCCCCGCTACCCACGCCCACCCTGCGCAGAAGGCTCCCGCGCAGTGAGAGGCGGAGGCGATTGGGTGTCAAACAGCTCTTATGTTGGAAGAGATTCAAGAAACGCCCACTGACGGATTCTGCTAGTGACTGAGACAGTCCTGATCAGAAGGGGCTGTGCAGTCAGAAAGGTTTAACAAGGCAAATCAGCCTAGAGAGGCACCAGTTTACGCACGAGTAACTCATACTCATTATAGCAATCCGTCAGTCCCTGAAAGTTGCTCGTGCGCAGCAGCAGGCAGGCAGCATCATGAGCAAGCCCGGAGAAGCAGGCGCCCAAGGGGGAGCAGCTGGAGGGCAAACGCTGGAGGAGAGGAACCGAGATTTGGAGCAGCATGTGGCCATTCTGACGGCACGGCTGGACGAAAGGCGGTCTCAAGATGCACAGGTCAGACCCACCCCCATAGCAAGGAAGGTACCGGGACTGGTGCACAAGTTTGGGGGGAAGCCGCAAGAATACAGTGCGTTTAGAACGGAAATAGAGTACGCATTGGACTTGCAGCATAACGATTTTGAAGACGACACGGCGCGGGTGGCATATGTTGTGGGTCACCTGCAGGACGGGGCCAGAGAATGGGTCTGACCCTTATGGCGACGCAGAATTCCGCCATGCAGGACCTGAGGAAATTCTTCCAAGCGATGGACGCGATGTTTTCCACTGATGTTCAAAAAAGTGTGACTAAGCGGGAATTGATGAACTGTAAACAGGGGAGCCAGTCAGTCAGGGACTACTGGTCGCGCTTGCCATGATAGTTCATCGCCTCGGGTGGGAACTGGGCTCCGAACCCATACAGATGTTATTCGAGGAGGGGTTGTCCCCAACGGTTAAGGATGAACTTTCCCGCGCACCCCGCCCACAGGGGATGGATCAGCTGACCAAGGCTGTGCTTGCGATTGGCGCGCGCCAGGAAGCACGGGCCCAGGAGAGGCGGGAAGGGAGAGAGCAACGTTGCCATGACTACCGCATTCCTGAAATACCAAGGCAGCCCTCCCCGCCAGCAGAGCCAATGGAAATAGATGGGGCGCGCGCGCGGGAAGTTTCAAGCACCAGCGAAGGGCGCAAGAAGGAGGGAAAGGATTGGAAAACCTCCAAAAGGTGTTACCTTTGCCAGCGGCCAGGGCATTTTGCCAGAGCCTGCCCTCAAAGAAAGGCTTGGCAAGGAATGGTGGGAGCCGCAGGGGGTGAGGAGGAGGTGGTAAAGGAACAGGAACAGGGAAACGAGAACGCTTGGCTGCCAATCAAGGGGCACAACAGCCAAGCCAGCCACCAGTAAAAGTGCCCCAACCAGACCCCCCCAAGGCGGCAATAGCCATCGAAGTGGTGCTAGAACTCCCAAACGGGCACCCAGTCAAGGTGAAAGGCATGCTGGATTCAGGCAGCTCATGTAATTTCTTCAGCAAGGACTTTGCATTAGAGCACCAGCTCCACTTACTGCCTTTGGATTTTCCCTTGCAAGTGACCACCATTGATGGCAGGGAGCTTCTAGGAGGGGAAGTGACACACCAAACCCCGCCAATGAGAATGAGGGTGTCCAGGCACTCGGAAACCATCGCCTTTCACGTCGCCTCGCTAGCAGGACCCCCAAGAATATTAGGGATGAGCTGGCTAGCACAACATGATCCAGTGGTGGCGTGGCATCAGAGGACAGTCACCTTTGGATCAGCTTACTGCCTGGAACACTGTCTAGGGGAAGCCCCAAGAATGACCGTGGCCAGGGTGGCTGGGATGGCGGTGGAGCGGAAAGGGGAGGTGCCGCCACAATACGCAGATCTGCGGGAGGTCTTCAGCGAAAAGGAGGCAGATAGACTGCCACCCCATAGGCCCTTTGACTGCCAGATCAACTTGCTTCCGGGGCCCAGCTGCCAGTGGGTAAGCTGTACGCCATGTCAGACAGGGGAGATGAAGGAGTTGCGAGAATTTATCGACAAGAACCTGAAAAAGAGGCGTCATAAGAGAATCAAAGGCAGTAGGGGCAGTCCGGTGTTCTTTGTGGACAAAAAGGACACAAATAAACCCAGGCTCGTAGTGGACTATAGAGCTGTCAATTTGGTGTCAGAACCCGTGACCTTCCCAATGCCCAGGATTGACGACATTTTAACGCGAGTGAGGAAAGGCAAAATTTTTACCAAGCTGGACCTCAGGGGCGCATACAATTTGATCAGGATGAAGGAGGGGACGAATGGAAGACCACAATGTTCACACCCCTAGGTGCCTTTGAGTACTTAGTTATGCCTTTGGATTACAGTCAGGCTCCGCCTGCTTTCAAGCTTTCATGCACCACGTGTTGGGGTCTCTGCTGTACAAGAACTGCGTAGCCTTCTTGGACGACGTCTTAATTTATTCGGACAATGAGGAACAACATGTTAGAGACGTCAGGGAAGTGTTACAACGACTGCAGAAGCACCAGTTGTGGGTCAAGCTGGAAAAATGTCAGTTTCACGCCAGAGAAGTCGAGTTTCTGGGGTACAAGTTGTCTGACAAAGGCTTAGCGATGGACCCAAGCAAGGTGCAGGCAGTGCTGGAGTGGAAGGCTCCCAAGACACGGAAGGACGTACAGAGGTTCCTAGGGTTCAGCAACTTCTACAGGAAGTTCATCAAGAACTTCGCCCACTTGACAGCGCCAATCACGGATTGTCTCAGTAGCAAAAAGAAGTTTGTGTGGACAGAAGAGGCCCAGCAATCCTTCGAAAAACTGAAGAAGGCGTTCACATCGGAAGAGCAACTCCTGCACGTAGATCTGGAGAAACCCCTGAGGCTAGAGACCGACGCGTCCGACAGAGCCGTGGGGGCGGTCCTTTGCAACCAGGGAAGGGAAAGCAGGAATGGAAACCGTGTGCCTTTTTCTCCAGAAAACTGAGCAAGTCGGAGCAAAACTATACAGTGTATGACCGCGAACTGCTGGCAATCTACGCGGCCCTTCGTCGTTGGCGTCATCTACTGATAGGGGCGCAACAACAGATCCAGGTTTGCACAGATCACAAGAACTTGGAGTACTGGAGAACCGCACGAGTACTCAACCAGAGACAGATTTGATGGGCACAGGAGTTCTCCAAGTTTTTCTTTGAAATCCGCTACGTGCCCGGAGAAGAAAACGTAAGAGCAGACGCTCTTTCGCGTAAACCGGAGTACCTGGAAGGAGAGGGGCCGCCGGAGAAACGACATGTGATCCCCGAGGACCGATGGGTGTGTGGGGGAACTTTGGTGGGGAAACGAGAACTAGCCGGGCTGACCAGAAACGACATGTTCGCGCAAACTAAAATCCGGGAACTACGAGACGGAAGAGGGACCCAAGAAGGGTTTGAGGAGAAGGAAGGGGTACTGTACTATAGGGGAGCGCTGTACGTACCGGGGGAACCCTGAGGGAAAAGTACTCAAACAACTCCACGACAACCCCACAGCAGGGCACTTTGGACAGCACAAAACCATGATGCTGGTGACCAGGCAGTTCTGGTGGCCCAGGGTGAGGGAGGATGTACGGGAATATGTACGGGGGTGCGACCGCTGCCAAAGGGCAAAGGGGGAGCGGGCTGCCCCACAGGATTGCTGGAACCCTTACCCACGCCGGGGAAACCCTGGGAGGTGGTATCCATTGATTTTATGACAGATTTGCCCAAGTCCCGGGAAAGACAGCAGTCATGGTAGTGGTCGACCTACTGACAAAAATGTGCCACTTTATAGCTTGCTCACATGCTGTAACGGCAGAGGAAACAGCCCGGTTGTTTGTGGAGCACATATTCCGGCTGCATGGCGCCCCTTGAGGGTTATCTCCGACCGCGGAAAACAATTTACTTCCCGGTTCTGGAGGAAACTCATGAGCTTACTGCAGGTGGAGGTGGGTTCTCGACGGCGAGACACCCAGAGACCAACGGGCAAGCAGAAAGAGCGAACAGTATACTCCAGCAATACCTACGCTGCTATGTCAGCGAGAGGCAGAACGATTGGGTAGAAAAACTAGCGCTGGCCGAATTCAGCGTACAACAACGCTGGAACACGTGTCCACGGGAATGAGCCCATTCATGGCCAACCATGGGTGTCATCCCAGGGCCTTCCCGGGAGTGGGGAGGAAAGCTGGAGCGCACCCGCCGCAGAGCAGTTTGTGGAGGAAATGGAGGCCCTACACCAGCAACTTAAGATGAACTTGGAGCGGGCCAAGGAAACTTACAAGAGGCAGGCAGACAAGCACCGCAGGGAAGGGGAGACCATACGGGTGGGGGACCGGGTGTGGTTGTCCACCCAAGGGCTACCTTTCAAACTGGGCTGCAAGAAGTTGCAGCCCAGACGGCTGGGACCTTTTGAGGTAACACAGCAAGTTAATCCCGTGGCATTTAAGCTCAGGTTGCCTGATAGCATGAAAATACACCCGGTTTTCCATAGGTCCCTGCTTTCACCGCATAGGGAAGGGCGGGAATTCCAGGGGCAAGAGGGAGAAGTCACCACACACCCGCAGGTAGAAGAAAGGGAACACCACCACAGGGCCACGGAAATACTGGACTCAAGGTGGCAAGGGCGCCGGGTGGAGTATTTGGTAGCGTGGGAAGGGGAACCCAGGTCCGGAAACACGTGGGTCCCCACGGAAGCCGTCGAGGACAGGTATCTGGTGGAGGTATTCCACCACCGGTTCCCGGACAAACCCAAACCCCTGGAGAGATTCTGGGAGGAGCAATTTGGAACCACAGATGAGGAGAGGTTTCGGAGGAAGAAGCATCAGACGGGGAAGACCACCCCGTTGGTAGGTGGAAGAGCGATTGGGAAGCGGGTTTCGAACCCACGGAAGATGGTGACAGTTCCTTCCGGGTTTCCCGCCTCCTCGGCCGACGAAGGGGACGAGTTGGTCCCACAGGTCGGCCCAGGGGTGGAGGGGATTCTGGGGGGGAGGTGGATGTCAGGGAACTGACATCAGAGCGAGAGGCGAAGGGGAGGCTCCTGGATGATGCTGGAGAAGGACCCAGCAGCAGGGGGAGAGGCGACTCAGTGGAGGGGGAAGCATTTAAGCGCAACACCAGGAACAAAAGTGAGCAGATGGGAAAATCGGAGAGAGGGCTCACGGACTCTTCACTGGAACTCAGTGAGGAGGGGACAGGTCCCCCGCTACCCACGCCCACCCTGCGCAGAAGGCTCCCGCGCAGTGAGAGGCGGAGGCGATTGGGTGTCAAACAGCTCTTATGTTGGAAGAGATTCAAGAAACGCCCACTGACGGATTCTGCTAGTGACTGAGACAGTCCTGATCAGAAGGGGCTGTGCAGTCAGAAAGGTTTAACAAGGCAAATCAGCCTAGAGAGGCACCAGTTTACGCACGAGTAACTCATACTCATTATACCACCCTTTTGGGATGTGTGGGCTCATGCGGAATGTTCAGAAAGTGCTGAGTGCTAGCCATAAAATGACTGCCATGAGGTGTGGCATAACAAGAAAGGGTTACCAACAGAATAGGAAAAGAGGTGAAGCCACAAAACAGCGCAGACTGTGCCTCTGGTAGCAATTAGCTAACAGCCTAGGTGTGAAGCAAGCATCGACGTAGACCAGGAATGGCAAGGAGCAATGAGGAAAAGAGAAGGTAACATTGTCCTGAATTCAGCCCCTGTGGAAGGAGCGTAGCTCAGTGGTAGAGCATCTGCTTTGCATGCAGATGGCCCTATGTTTGATCTGTGATCTGGGAGAGATCCCAGTCTGGAACCCTGGGGAGCTGCTGCTGGTCTGTGTAAAAAATACTGAGGTAGATGGACCAATGGTTTGGTTCAGTGTAAGGCGGCTTCGTATGATGGCATAGGTAATGAGGAAGGCTGGGGTCCCAGAGAAAGCCCTGGAAATGCCTACACACACACACAAACACACAATTCTGAATATAGCAACAAATATCCTGTCAATTACTGTTCCTCCCTCTTTCCCTGCATAACAACCCCAACAATGTCCAGCTGAATTAGCAATAATAACAAAAGATTAATTCAGTAGCTGCCAATTTTAAAAGTGTCACTCCACAGGTTCCTGTGTTTCTTGGGTGGTTTATACACATGTTTGTTCTTTGACTGGAGCCCTAGGTGCTAGATCTTCCAGCATCTCTTTTGCCTGAAGAGATAGCCAGGGCCAATCAAAGGCATTTTCCTCCCCATGGCAAAGGACAAGATGGCACCCAACACCATTCTATGTCCAGATGCTGTCCCCACTAGTAGTTGAAACTTGCTTCAACGCTGGTAATGGATGAGTGTCTTCTACTGCTCCTAAGAGCAGCAGGCTAGCTTGGGAGGGTGTGGTGGGGACATGGTGCTTGTAAGTCCCTGTTATGCTCAAGCAACTAAATGATGTCAACAAAAATAACAACAACAACTGTGGCACACACAACTCTCGTCTCTCCCACTACCACTCTCCATACCAGCATCTGATGTCAGATGCAGCTGCTTCTCTTTGCCGAATGGTAGGGCTTCTCTGATTCTCTGTGCTCTGGGGTGCAGGAGGAAACCTTGCTGCTATCCCCAACAAGCAGCAGGAGCCCCCTTGCACCCCCAGCTTCACTGGAGCGAACTCTTGAGAAAGAAGGAACTGTCCCAACAGCATTCCACAGAGAGGGTGGCACTAGAGGCAATGTCTTGTCTACAGATGGTGTGAAATGACACAAAAGGAAGAATGCATTTGTGTTTCAGCATGCAGTCTTCTCCAGCAGATGTAAGCAGAGTGCCTTGAAGCATCTGTGAGTCTGCAACTAACTGAACAGAAGTTAGCATATAGCCCATCATGAATTTCTAGGCCTTGACCCTCCCAAATGGGAGGCTATTGTAGGAAATGTTCAAGAGATGAGTCAAGTGTACTTGGAAGCATCACTGATTTTAAATTAAACAAGTTGTTCAGGTTCCCAGACGCTCTTGCTTTTGATCATCTGAAGTCTTGTGGCAGGCTTACTAAGCCCCGAAACAATGCTTCTAAATGCTTTCCCCTAGTTTAATCTTGAGAGCGGGCAGGTACAGAGAAAGCCAGACAATAAGACAACAGCAACAACAACCAGCAACAAAAAAGCCCCTGCACTCTCCGAGATGACTTCCTTTTCTTTTGTGTTGGCAAAATGGGGAAGCTGAGAGACAAAGTTGTTTTATTTTGTTTTGAAGAATAGACAGGAAACGAGTCTGACGGAACCCATCAGGAACTAAAAAGATAATTGAAGAGAGAAATAAAGGGTTCGGGGGAAATATAAACACAATTTTAACTGGAAAAGCTCAGGGAAGAGTGTAAAGAGCAGACACAGGGGAAGAAGCCTTTTAAAAAGACGTACACATAGTACGTAGATTGGGTTTCATTAAAGATGGGGACCAGTTCAGTTGCACTGGGTGCTACAGGGGATGCCACAGCTATGATTTAGACTGCAGCATGAGAGGACGCTGCTGAAATTTGAGACCCCAAGGTCCACCACTGGTCCCAGCCTGCGGACACCTATTCCTGCTGGGAGATTTCAATGCCAGATTTGGGGACGATCATTACACATAGGCCACACTGGTACTGGCAGCATGAATGAGAACGGCAGTCTGCTTGAACTGTGCTCATATCAGGCAGAGGGCCTTCTCAGTAGTGGTGTCCAGCCTGTGCAAAGCTCTCCCATCAGATGTCAACTATCTGATTTTTAGAAGACATCTGAAGACAGCCCTTAATGTCTGATGTTTTACAATTTTTTATGTCTGTAAGCTGCCCAGAGTGGTTGGGGAAACCCAGCCAGGTGGGTGGGGTATAATAATGATGATGATAATAATAATAATAATAATAATAATAATAATAATAATAACAACAACATCACATCCTCTGCTTCATGAACTCAATCTTCTCTACCAAGGTAAAACAGTGAATGTCCTGGAAACATCCAAGTTGAAGCCATTGGCATCAGCTGGACTTGATTGTCACCAGGCGATCAGCACTGAACTGTGTTCATGTCACACGGAGGTACCACTCCAGCCAAAGAGGACCCATAGCACAAAGCAGAAACTGCGGTGATTTCTATATAATGGTGCTGATGCTGATTTATTAAATGTCTATCCCTCCTTTCCTCCCAAAGGTAGCCTAGGGCAACATACGGCCCAGCAGTAAAACAACACACTTTAAAATAAGACAAACACATCTTTAAAACATTTAATAACATTGGAAACAGCTAAAAACTTTTTTTTTTTAAATGTAAAGATCTAAAAATACTTTAACAAACAGCCTCATACACTCCTGTGGTATGCACTGGCATTGATTGGATCGCTGAAATAACATCAATAATACAAAGGGGAAAGAGCAATGGTTGAAAGAAACAAAACACAAACTGCTCTTCCACCTCGTTTGCTATTAGCTGGCAGTAGCACCCCAGAAGGTTCCATGTTCAATTTCAGGCATCTCCAGGTAAGGCAGAAAGACCCCCAGCTGAAACCCTTGAAAGCCATTGCCAGCTGGTATAGATAATTTTGGGTTAGATGGGCCAATGGTCTGATGCAACATGAGGCAGCTTCCTGTGTTCCCATGTCGCTTCCTACAGTCCCAGCCAGCAGTCTTTCCCAACTCTGTCTGGGGAGGAACCAGTTAGAGCATCTGTTTGCATGTGGAAGGTAGCAGCTTCAGTCCTCAGCATCTACAGATGGAGCTGAGAGACAAGTAAAGAGCAAGTGTTAGCAAGATGGACCAACTAGATGGGCCAACAATGCAGCTTAGTTGGTACAATGGTCTGGCTTAGGTAACTCCATTTGTTCATTAGGAGTACCCACAGCTCAATGGGTTTTTCCTACAGGTTTTCTGCAGGTTCTCCCAGCATCTCCAGGTAGGTGTGGGAAAACCCCCTGCTTGTAATCCTAGAGAGCCTGCTGCCAGTCAGTCTAGACAGTACTGAGCTAGGTGGACCTATGGCCTGACTCCGCACAAGGCAGCTTCCTATGTCAAACTAGACTTGCAGCTCAGTGGTACGGCATGTGCACCTCATCCAAAATATACAAGGTAGTCTTTAGGTAGAGCCAAGAAGGATTTCTGCCTGGAACTGTGGACAGCAGCTGCCAGTCAGTGTATCCATTACTTAGCTACCAATAGGAGGCACTTTCCTGTGTTCATATCATTCCTGATCCAAACTGCTTTTTCTGGAATAACAACTCGGAGCTAAGTAGTGGTTGGCACACAATTTAGATTGGGAAAATGACATGGGGGGGGGGGTTAGCTCCTCCCCTGCCATTCCAGAACCTCCAAGTGTCCCTATTTTCCAGAAATGTCCCTGATTTAGAGAAGCCATCCTGGTTTCTGATTTGATCCCAGAATGTCTCACTTTTCCTTAGGATGCCCCTATTTTCATTGGAGAAATGTTGGAGGGTGTGGGGGTATAAACAGTGATATTATCATTATGGAATGCGACGTCCCTATTTTCATTGGATAAATGCTGGAGGGTATGCCATTGTGGCCCTGATCCAAATTTCCTTTACAGCTCGTATGGACATTTTTAACAAAACTACAAAACTGCAGAAAAGCCCCATGTCTTTTTTTGGCCCTGTGTGATAAAAAGAATTAAAGAGGGAGTGAGACAGAGTGTGCACCACCAGGCATTAAACGTTTGCTTCTGTGAAGTTGTCAGGAAAAGGCCAAAACCATGCCCTTAAGCACTGGAACCTGGATGGCAGCTCCACACTCCATGCGGCACATGTTCATTTCGTCTTTTACTGCCCTCCTTCCTACATCTGCCGAGCCAGGCCCTTCCAGGGTTCATTTAGAAGCATCCCCAGGTGACAGCTCTTAAGCATCTGCAGAGTTTATATTGCATCACTTCAGCTGTTTTTATATGGACACTGCTGTGGTAGACACAGTATAAAATGTCAGATGCTGCAGAAACACTAGATGAGGTGCAGCAGATAGAGCAAGTGGGGGAAAACACACAACCCAATGGAACGTTTTGCCATCTCCCTGTGAATTAAAAAGGAAAAAGCTGCTTGCTTCTAGATTGTATTTGTAGGGATGGTGGGTAGATTCTGGGCACTGGGGATTGCTCAGGGTTGACTTTGACATTATTATTGTCCTTGGTGCCATCAGGGCAGGCACTTGGAGCAGAAGTTCAGGGTTCCACCTAGCAGATTGAGCAAGGAGGGCTGTCAAACAGAGCAGCCAGCTTGGAACATATTGCAGGCATGGGGAACCTTTGGGCTTGCAGATGTTGCTGAACTACAACTCTCATCAGCCCCAGCATGACCAGGGATGGTGGGAGTTGTAGTTCATCAGTATCTGAAGGGAATGTGGTGCACTGGTGCAGTGAATGTGGATCCTCCAAGCCTAGCCTGCCAGCTTAACTGAAAAAGAAACTGATGACAAAAGGATTGATTATTGCACTGCTGTAGCTGCACACTGCATGCCACTGACAACAGGCAAGATTAATGAGTGCATGCAAGATGAGTGTGTGGAAGGCCGTTTGTTGTTAGACATGATTAAGAAATTAAAAGCAGAAAGCTTTGCTGTTTATAAATGCTAAAGTGAAGCAGAGAGCTTTGCAGTGGGAGATGCTGCTGCTGCAGAGGGGCAGTTCAAGAGGAAACCTCTGCATTTGAAACAGCCTCTCTTAGGGATTGTAAACACAGTCAAGGGAGGAGCCTTCAGTATTCTATTCGTGAAGGATGCAATTGTCAATTAGCATTGACGGGCAAGGCTCCCCTGTGCAGAAGCGGCATACTTTGGAATACCAGGTTATC